CAGGATGGTCTCGATCTCTTGACCTCGTGATCCACCCGCCTCGGCCTCCCAAAGTGCTGGGATTACAGGCTTGAGCCACCGTGCCCGGCCTTTAATTTTTCTATTTTTAGCAGAAATGGGGTTTCACTATGTTGGCCAGGCTGGTCTCGAACTCCTGACCTCAAGCGATCCACCTCCCACTGCCTCAGCCCCATAGTGCTGGGATTACAGGTGCGAGCCACAGCACTTGGCCAAAAGATGTTTAAATTAATTCAACATCTAAAAATTTGGGGGTTTCACGTTACAATTCCTAATGAAGATCTAGAGTAGTGGTTCTCAGGGTCGATTTTGCGCCACTCCCAGGGTCATTTAGCAATATCTGGAAGCATTTTTGATTATCACAACTGGGCAGGGAGTGCTACTGCAGATGCTGAACATCCTGTGATGCACAGAACAACCCTCACAATAATAAAGTATCATCTGGTCCAAAATGTCAAGTGCTCAGATTGAGAAAGGGATCTAGAAGTATTGTATGCATCTGTGGGTTCTGCCTACCAAAAGAAATTTTCAAATTTTTCAAGTTCAAATCCTGAAAGTTCCTCCAATTACCAGGGATAGGATCTCCTGCAAGGTACTTAACTTCTTTATACCTCAAATTCTTCATCTGTAAAACAGAGATAATGATATAGTTACCTACCTCACAGGGTTTTTCAAGGATCAGGTGAGTCCCCGTAAAATCTTTGGAAAAGTATGCCACACACATAGTAAGCAATCAATAAATTTAACCACTTACATTCTTCCCTGGCCTAATGCCCAGTCCTGCATTTGAAATATCGAAAATGCACAAAAAATGGTTACTCAATGTATATAATGCCTTAATTTCCTGGGGAGAGCACTAATGGGTAAAGACAGACAACATTCTTTTTTTGTGTGAGAAAAAGGAAACACCGAGCTAGGGACATAGTTAAAGGAAGCATTTGCCCATCACATCCCTCCTTCCTCAGAATACTTTTAACCTGCAAGAAATGTCGCCCCCCTTCATTGGATCCTTAGTACACACTGCCTTACAATCTCTTTTGATATTTGTTTTTCCTTTCATGCCTTCTGACCAACTGAAGATCCTCAAGCACATGAATGGGATGGTATCTTTTGATCCCTACGTCATCTACCTAGTATTACTGTTATTTATACACTTATGATAGTGTTTCTACTAGACTGTACATGCCCTCTGTGGGCATGGACAGCACTCTACTCCTCTTTATGCAACCCAAAGGGCTTAACAGACCTCAGCAACTGGCTGGCCCAAGCCTCTCGTTTTATAGATTGGACAGAGAGAGGCTAAATGACTTGCCAAGAGTCAAGGTCATATTGCAAGTAGCAGAGCTGTAATTCCAACTCTGATAAATAGCCAACCCAGAGACTCAAGTTCTACCTAATATTAAAATTACATCTGTGGTACAGACAATTTTTAATTAAGTACAAGAGCACCTTCACAGGAATTACACTGGTATAGTTACCTGACAAAACAAAAATGGAAGGAGAAATAGACTTCTAAGCTCTGTTCTGCTTATATTACACCTTAATGGCTCAATCTGTTTTCTTTAATGGTTCCAAATCTTAACATTTCCTTACAAGATTTTGACAACAAAATTTATGTAAATATACCACAAATAGTCAGTGATGTCAGACTTAATTCCCCTTAAATGATCTCATAATTATTTTGAGTAACAGAGAATCCCTTACTGGGTAAACCAATGATTCCTATCCTTCATCATCTGAACATATTCTTTAACAATCAACTGAACGGATTAGTATCTTATAAAACTCAATAGGCCAGCAATTTGGAACAACTATACACGGTGTAAAATATACAGACAATTTGAAATGTGAGTGTCAAAAACCCCAACATAAATCTAAAGCCTGCAAGCATCAAGAGCAAACTACACTAAAACCTGAGATAGAAGAAATTTTATTTTATTCTCAACAAGTGAAATAAAAAAGAAAAAAAAAAGCTATTCATGGATCTGGTTAACTGGCTAAGTTTCTCTGAGTGTCCCAGTATGATGCAAAAGAAAAAGGTGAATAAGAAAGGAAAAAAAGGTAGGAAAGAAAATGAATGTGAAAAGGAGTTAAATACAGTAAAATTCCCTGATGCTTAGCCAATTACAGCTCAGTGAAGCTAAATATTTCCATTCCATAAAGACAGCGTTTAAAAAAGCAAAAAACAAAAACCCTCCCTTCGCGTTGATGCAAAAGCAGTAGGGCCCAACAAAAAAGACAACCTCTTCTGGAGAACAGATTTTTAATTATTTTACCAGCTGATAAAAAGAGCACACACCGAACACGGACAGAAATGGAGTTTCAAAGGAAAACAAAACGCAGCGTATGCTTGGTAAAGTTCAAGGGCAAAATGTTTCCAATGCAACAGAATCCGCCCGACTACAGTGTTGGGGGGGAAAATGCGAACACATAGTATCTTTTTATAAAGGCAACAATTTGAGCTACAAAGTAATAACGGGGAAACCAAAACAGTTTGACAGCCCGCCATAAGGGCCGCCTCAATCATGAGTCACACAATGCCTGCAACCATTTACAATAGTAATTAATGCACAAGTCCCCTAATTAAATTCTAAAAGGGTGAGAATGCTTTAACTAAGTTTACAAGAATTGCTTTGCGCTTTTTTTTTTTTTTTTTTTTAAAAGAAAGAAACACACGCGTAATTACGCATCTCCCCGCAATCCCTCCAGTATTCCCCCAGGCCGCTTCTCCCGAATGCCTGCTCTCTGCGTGCGGAAGAAAATGTCACGGGGGAACTTCTCAACCCAGAAAGGGCGAATCGGAGTAGAAATACACGATTATAATGGGGCGGGAGATGGAAAGCTCGCCCATCTTACCTGCTAAGATTTCTTTCTACGTCTTTGGTAGCTTTAGCTTCCAATTCTCTGAAACAAAAAACAAAAACAAAAACAAAACAAAAACACACACACACAAAAACGAGATGCGCGTGAAAACGGAGCTGCTGCGGCAAAGGCTCGCGCCAGGGCCGGATGGGGGAGGGGAGGAGACGCGGAGGGAGGGGGACTCACAAAGCTGCGGGGCTGCAGCCCGGACTGCGGTCCCCTGGCGCGGGCGAGGCGCAACCCCGGCCGGGCCCCCGCGGCGCAGCGAGGCTCCCCCGGGCCGCCCGACCGGCCTCCTCGGCAGCGCAGCGCGCGCCCTCTCGCCGAGGCCCGAGGTCTCGGGGACGCTCGGTGCCTCCGCCGTCGCCTCCGCCGCCGCCGCCGCCGCGATTGCGGGCCCTGCGGCAGCGCCCGCGGCTCCTCCCGCCCGGAGGGAGGCTCCCGTTCCGCTCACCTCATGTGTGTAAAGTGCACGAGCAAGTAGGGCGCGGCGAAGGAGGCTCGCGAGCCTCAAGCCCTCCGCAGCGCCGCGGGGAGAGGCCCGAGCCGCCGCACCAGCGCCATTTTCTACACCGACCCGCTGCCGCCGCCGCCGCCGCCGCCGCCGCCGACACCGCCGCCGCCGCAGGCCCCAGACCGGAAGTGAATGCCCCTCTCGGCAACCCCTTCCGGGGGCGCCGCGGCCACTAGCCCCCAAGATGGAGGCCCTAGCAACTGCACCCACAGACCCGGCAGGTCCTTGGCAACCGCCCCGGCGTGGCACGCTGCACCCGGCCGGACTTCCCTGGAAGTCACAGCCTCCGAGGCGCCCCGCGGAGTGGCTGCGGGGCCTGCGGAGCCCCGAGCCAATCTTTTTCGGTGCAACCGGCTCCGGTCTGACCGAAGAGGAGGGGAGGAACTCCCCTCCTTCTCCTTCTTTGCTGCGACACAAGTTTCCTACCCGCCGCCCGGCCCCTCCCCCACTGATACACGCCAAAAAAAAAAAAAAAAAATTCCCTAAAACGCAAATTCTACCCCAGCCGCAGCCTGATGAGCCCGCGCGGCTTTTGAATTTCGCCACTTCTAATTATTTATGACCTTGGGCCAGTTATTTAACCTCTCTGCCTCTCAGTTCCTCCTCAGGTAAAGAATGTAAACCTGAGGTGAGTTGTGAGGCTTAAAAGCGATTTTTATCCAGCGACTTTTGAAGACCCTTTGACTCAGCAGTTCCGCTTGCACGTATTTTCTGCTCAGGAAATAATTTTGGGTATCTGCAAATATTTCACCATCGAGATACTAAGCTGTGGCATTGACGAAAGTGAAAAATTGTAAACGGCCAAAATGTCCAGCGTTACTAGATGGCTTCAAAAACAGATACTGGCATGTATTAGGACACTGTAAAAATGCTGTGGAGGAATAATCCCGGTATGGGGAAAATAACTGCAATAAAATAAGTGAAAATGCAGGTTCTAAATTAGCGCACACATGTAGATACACTACAGTTCATACATGTAGACACACTAAGATACGTATATATGTAGACACAGACGCATATGTGTACATTAAAAGTATGCCTTCATGTAGATGCAATAAGATATATACCTATCTGCAGGTAGGTACAACAATATACATACATGTAGATACAGTAAGACACATTCACTTGAATGTGTTCTTTCCAATCTCTCATGCTTTTTCTTCTAATTTAAAGATAATTCCTCCTCTGTGCTTAAAATCTATAACCTTTACTTTTTTAGAACCCTCACTCTGTGGATCATCCCATTCTCCCTTTTCTAACCTAGGTCTTTCAACTGGCTTTTTTTTTTTTTTTTTTAAATTAATTAATCTATTTTTTGAGGCAGAGTCTGTCTCCCAGTCTGGAGTGCAGTGGCGCGATTTCTGCTTACCGCAACCTCCGCCTTCTGGGTTCAAGCAGTTCTCCTGCCTCAGCCTCCCGAGTAGCTGGGATTACAGGCGCGCACCAGTGCGCCCGGCTAATTTTTGCTTAGTAAAGACAGGGTTTCGCCATGTTGGGCAGGCTGGTCTTGAATTCCTGACCTCAGGTGATCCGCCCGCCTAGACCTCCCAATGTGCTGGGATGACGGACGTGAGCCATCGCACCTGGCCTCAACTGGCTTGAAAACATGCTCGAATCTCTCCCATTAAAAACAAAATTTCCCTAGACGTGTTGGGTTCCTATCCTCTCCAAGACCCTAAGCTAATGAATGAATGCACGGAAAGTGATAAAATGCATCAAAATGTTAACTGGTGATGACTTTTTAAAATTTTCTTCTTTTAGTGTATCTGTTTTTTTCTTTACAATGAGCATATAAAAAACACTTTTTGAAAAAAATCAGGTCTACAAAATGTAAAACATAGTTGACACCAAATAAATGCTAGTGATTTTCCTTTTCCTGCTATCATCCCTGAGATCCATTCCCCTATACACATATTTGTTTTCCTTTCATAATCCTTTCTACTTAAAATGTTTAAAAAGTTACTGCAGTATTTTGTTAGGAGTTTAAAAATATGAACATATACGTATGGCACAATATGCTTTCATACCAGGTTTATGAATAATTTTTCACAACAGCATAAGGCAATAAAAACAGTAATATATATCAACATTTGCACAGCTGTTAAGATTAGCTGATTTTCTTATTAGATTTTTTTAATTTTAATAACTCAGTGATTCTTTTTTTTTTTTTTTTTTTTTTGAGATGCAGTTTTGCTCTTACTGCCCAGGCTGGAGTGCAATGGCACAATCTCAGCTCACCACAACCTCCCCCACCTGAGTTCAAGCGATTCTCCTGCCTTAGCCTCCCAAGTAGCTGGGATTACAGGCATGTGCCACCACGGCCAGCTAATTTTTGTATTTTTAGTAGAGATGAGTTTCTCCATGTTGGTCAGGCTGGGCTCAAATTCTTGACCTCAGCTGATCCACCTGCCTCAGCCTTCTAAAGTGCTGGGATTACAGGCATGAGCCACCCCCCGCCCCCAGCCCTTAGTGATTCTTAATTGGGACAGGTTTGCCCCCATCTCTACCCCTGCGGACATTTAGCAATGAACTTTTTGATTGTCACACTGGATGCTACTGATAGGTATCTAGTAGCTCCAGGCCACGGATTCTGCTAAATATTCTATGATGCATAGGATAGTCCCCTACAACCCTGGAATATCTAAACCAAAATGCCTACAGTACCAAGGTTGAGAAAGCCTGGAACTAATTTCCAGCAGCAGACAAGCTAATAAGATGTGATTTCTTGGCTGGGTATGGTGGATCAGGCATGGTAGGCCAGGCGCGGGGACTGACGCCTGTAATCCCAGCACTTTGGGAGGCTGAGGTGGGTGGATCATCTGAGGTCAGGAGTTTGAGACCAGCCTGACCAACATGGTGAAACCCAGTCTCAACTAAATATACAAAATTAGCCAGGCATAGTGGTGCATGCCTGTAATCCCAGCGACTCTGGAGACTGAGGCAGGAGAATTGCTTGAACCCAGGGGCAAAGATTGCAGTTAGCCAAGATCGTACCATTGCACTCCAGCCTGGGCAACAAGAGTGAAACTCCAACTTGGAAAAAAACAAAAAACAAAAAAAAAACATGATTTCTTGAAGGTTTGTCAACAGTGGTTGGACATCCCACCTGAGCCTTCATGGGCAGCAACAGAGAGTGTTCTATATGAGATCATGCTGGTCACTTTTAACTTAAACTTGGTGCATTCATCAAAGAAGAATGACATCATAAGATCAGCACTGATTCCTTATGTGGGACCCACTAAGGGATCTTCTCCTGTTACTATCTTTTCTTTTTACTAAATAATCATTCTCTCTACTGAATGTTCCCCATCACCATACAAACTCTAGTAACTCTCATTAAAAAGCAAAAAGCCCAAAACTCTCTTGATGCCTCATTCCTCTCCAGCTCCATTTTCCTGCTCTTGTTCCCAGCAGTGCTTTCTTGGGAAAGTGTTTGACACAAGAGCCTTCCACTGGCTCTCCTCCTTCTTGCAGCTCTCTTTAACCTGATTTCCCCATCCCACCTCCAAAACTGCTCTTATGAAGGTCTCAAATGACTTTGAAGGTGCCAAACTCAATGGGAACAGGTCTGTCCTCATCTTGATTTACTTCTTAGCTAAATATGCCACAATTCCCTCCTAAAGAGAATGTCTTTGCTAGGCCATCTTGACAGTATATTCTTCTGTAATTCTTTTAACCTTTCTAGCCATTTTTTTGGGGGGGGTATCTTTTGCCAGCATCTTCTGCTTTATATCAAATAAGTGTTGGAGATCTCCCCCACTCCCAAGGCTTTCTCCAGACTTGTGTCCTTCCCCATTCTCTGCTTTCTCTTTAGGATGGGTAATCTCATCTATTCTCTTGTATGTAAGTACTCTCTAAATACAGATGACTCTCAAATTTAAACCTTAACACTTGTCTCACCTGTGTACCCCTGAATGCCAAAATGACAATTCACTCACATAATATTTATAGAGCGCCTACTATGTGCCAGGCACTGTGCTAGTACTACTGGCTTCTCTGGTTCTTGTGAGGAACTACTATGGTGGATTAAGTCTAGCAAGGCAGACAGATTTTTTTTTTTTTTTTCAGACGAAGTCTTGCTCTGTCATCCAGGCTGGAGTGCAGTGGCATGATCTCGACTCACTCCAACTGTGCCTCCTGGATTCAAGTGATTCTTGTGCCTCAACCTCTTCAGTAGCTAGGATTACAGGTGTGTGCCACCATACCTGGGTAATTTTTGTATTTTTAGTAGAGACAGGATTTCACCATGTCGGCCAGGCTGGTCTCAAACTGCTGACCTCAAGTGATCCACCTGCCTCAGCCTCCCAAAGTGCTGGGATTACAGGCATGAACCACCATGCCCAGCAGATTTTTTTTTCTTAAGCAACCTATAAATGTATAATTAGAAACTATGGCAAGTGCACAGAGGGAAAGGAATGTTGCTCTAAGAAAGTGTAAAACAAGGGAACACACCATTGTGTAACAAAGAAGGTTTCTTTGAATATGTAAAGCTTCACCTGAGAATGGTCAGAGGAGCTGGAGCGTGGTA